TTGGGGCCAATTCTGCAGAATTTGGGGTCAGAGCCACAGAATTTGGGGTTGATTCTGCAGAATTTGGGGTCACAGCTGCAGAACTTGGGGCCGGTTCTGCAGAATTTGGGGTCACAGCTGCTGAGTTTGGGGTCACAGCCGTTGAGTTTGGGGTCAATTCTGCAGAATTTGGGGTCGCAGCTTCTGAGTTTGGGGCCAATTCTGCAGAATTTGGGGTCACAGCTGCTGAGTTTGGGGCCAATTCTGCAGAATTTGGGGTCAGAGCCACAGAATTTGGGGTTGATTCTGCAGAATTTGGGGTCACAGCTGCAGAACTTGGGGCCGGTTCTGCAGAATTTGGGGTCACAGCTGCTGAGTTTGGGGTCGCAGCCGCTGAATTTGGGGCCAATTCTGCAGAATTTGGGGTCGCAGCCTCTGAGTTTTGGGGTTGATTCTGCAGAATTTGGGGTCACAGCTGCAGAATTTGGGGCCGATTCTGCAGAATTTGGGGTGAGAGCTGCAGAATTTGGGGCCAGTTCTGCAGAATTTGGGGTCACAGCTGCTGAATTTTGGGGTCACAGCCTCTGAGTTTAGGGCTGATTCTGCAGAATTTGGGGTCAGAGCTGCTGAGTTTGGGGTTACAGCTGCTGAATTCTGGGGTCACAGCCTCTGAGTTTGGGGCCAATTCTGCAGAATTTGGGGTTGATTCTGCAGAATTTGGGGTCACAGCTGCAGAGTTTGGGGTCACAGCCGTTGACGTTGGGGTCACAACCTCTGAGATTGGGGCAAATTCTGCAGAATTTGGGGTCAGAGTCGCAGAATTTGGGGTCGATTCTGCAGAATTTGAGTCACAGCTGCAGAATTTGGGGTCACAGCTGTTGAATATAGGGTCACAGCCTCTGAGTTTGGGGCCGATTCTGCAAAAATTGGGGTCAGAGCTGCAGATTTTGGGGTCACAGCTGCAAAATTTGGGGTCAGTCATTGAGTTTGGGGCCGATTCTGCAGAAATTGGGGTGAGAGCTGCAGAATTTGGGGTCAATTCAGCTGCAGAATTTGGGGTCACAGCTGCAGAATTTGGGATCCTGTCTGGAGAGTTTGGGGTCGACTCTGGGGAATTTGGGGCCAATTCTTGGGAATCTGTGTTCAGTCCCTGAGATTTTGGGGCTGATTCTGCAGAATTTGAGGTCTTGTCTGGAGAGTTTGGGGTCAATTTTGAGGAATTTGGGGCCAATTCTTGGGAATCTGGGGTCAGTCCCTGAGATTTGGGGCCAGTTGTGCAGATTTTATGGTCGATTCCTGAGAGTTTGGGGTCCG